AGGATGAGGAGGGGACTGGAGCATCTCTCCTGTGAGGAGAGGCTGAAGGAGCTGGGCTTGTTCAGCCTGGAGAAGAGAAGGCTGAGAGGGGACCTTAGAAATGCCTCGAAATATCTGCAGGGTGGGGGTCAGGAGGATGGGGCCAAGCTCTTTCCAGTGGTGCCCAGTGACAGGACAAGGGGCAACGGGCACAAACTGAGGCACAGGAAGTTCCGTCTGAACATGAGGAAGAACTTCTTCCCTCTGAGGGTGACGGAGCACTGGCCCAGGCTGCCCAGGGAGGCTGTGGAGTCTCCTTCTCTGGAGATATTCAAGACCCGCCTGGACAAGGTCCTGTGCAGCCTGCTGTGGGTGACCCTGCTTGGGCAGGGGGTTGGACTGGGTGACCCACAGAGGTCCCTTCCAACCCCTACTATTCTGTGTGATTCTGTGTGACACCTGAACGTGGCAAGCCAGCGCAGACCCACCTTCAGCCATCAGGCAGAGGCTGTGAAAACAGATCAGCTTTGTCCTCTTGAAGAAAAGGTGGGTGGAGGCTGCTTTGTGGAGCTGGGGACCAGGCTGCGCGTTTCCCACAGGCAGGGCCACCCAGCGAAGAGCTCCTCTTCCGAGGCCAGGGCTCTGCTGCGTGGTTTTGCCACCGCCTGGGCCTTGCCGTTCCAGTTTGGCTTGGGTGATGGGCTTCAGGTGGGTGGCACCAGACCTCTCCGAGCGTGCTTTGGCGGCGCGGATTTGGCGCGCGGGATTCTGCGGAGGTCTCAGGACGGTAGCGTGAGTTCACCTGATCTCTTTGCTCTTGTTTGAAGGACCATGCTGACAAGCACGGGCTTCTGGAGTGGTGTGGAGATCTTTGGGTTGAACGCTGGGATGGGAGGGAAGCACTTCAACATCTCACCCGCATGGAACTTCCCCACGGGGCTTCTGTTCCCCGCTTCTCCAGGAGCTGCCTGTTGATGCCTCGCATTCCCACTCACCTCCATCCAGGACGTTCACTTGTGTTTTCCCGGGAGATTTTCCTGGGAACATCTGTAAATTCCTTCAGGTCACATTTTTCTCAGCGTGACACCTTCAGCATGCGCTGCTTGGAGATGTTTCCATCATGTGTAAAACCTTGAGCACTGAGATCTTTCGGCGCGCCGATTTTCTGGTGCCAATCTGCTCGCAGTCTTGGTCAGCTCATTTTTCTTGCACGAGGGTTGGTGATCGTTCTTTCCATGTTCCTGTATTTTTTCACCGCGCTTCTTCACTTGCAGGATCTAGCTGTTTAATTTTGCTAAAGAAGCGTGCTCCAGGTGAAAAGTTTCCTCTTTGGTTTCTTCCTCCTCTTCGCAAATTCTGCGGTGAGAACAGAGAAGCTGGCGTCGGAGGTCGTTGCAGCTCATCAGGCTCAGATCTTGGCCTTCCGCTTGCTTGTGGCACAACCTCCCTCGCTTTTAGGGTGCGTTGAAACGTGAAAAGGAGCTGCTGAAATGATGCCAGCACTGACTGTCCCCAGAAAGTTTGGTGCGTGTCGTTAGGGCTGAGTTCTGGTGAGCGCGGTGTTCAGACCTCACCGGTGCGGTCCCCAGCGTGCCCAGCCCTTCAGCGCTGCAGGCAGCGTCGTACAGACACCGGCGTTCGGAGAAGACAGAAATCCTGTCCTGCTCCATCTGTGCTGAGCCTGCTCAAGTCACAGAATCACAGAATGGTTGGGGTTGGAAGGGACCTCTGGGGTCACCCAGTGCCACCCCCTGCCCAAGCAGGGTCACCCAGAGCAGGCTGCACAGCACCGCGTCCAGGCGGGGCTTGAAGATCTCCAGAGAAGGAGACTCCACAGCCTCCCTGGGCAGCCTGGGCCAGGGCTCCGTCACCCTCAGA